TTTTTTTTTTCTTGAGGTACCGGGGGTTGAACTCAGGACCCTGTGCTTGCCAGGCAAGTGCTTATTCTACTGAGCTATCTCTCCAGCTCCTAAAAAAATTTTTAGAAGAGTTTCAGTTTACTTTTGATTAAAAATGGGGATTCTGGCAATACCATCACTACGATGTCAACTTTAGATCTGAGATATTAAATGCACATAAGATTCCAGGAGCTGGTTTAGACATATTGAAAATGAGCCCCCTTTATGGAGATAAATAGGTTGATATTGAAGTATGGATTGATTTTCTGTTTTTTCCCCTTTCATGAAACTTACGTCAGGAAACCAGTGTTTAATTTGGGCAGGTGAAGAAAACAGATAAAAACACAGGCCCTTTTGGTTTCAAGACCCCATCTTGTGGGAAAATATGAATTCCAGCCTTGTGACTTAGCACCTTTGTGACTCTTGTCATGTGACTTTGTTCTTGAGGTTCTTCGTTTTCAGAGAGGAAATGAGATTGTATAAACTTCCCAGAAGTGCTTTGGGGACTCAATAAAATCCTGTGTGTGAATACACTTAGAGCCATTCCTGGCTCACAGTAGGTGCCTAATAGTGGTTTAGTGACTCAGTGACCTAGTAAATAAATAAAGAGGGGAGTTCGATAGAAAGATTATTCCTTTCCATTGCTTCTGACAGCGATGGTCAAGAATCTTGCCTTTAACTGTACTGTCTGTAAGTTCACTCATAAACTATTGATATTTTAATAATACACATTAGCATCTTACCCTTTGACAAATGAATATTGAATGAGCAATAAAGAGGCAAAAGAGTAACCAGGTAGACCGCTTTGGAGAAGCTGGGCCTTAGGTAGCTGTCCAGAGAATGCCCAGGCTTTGTGACTCAACCCTCTCCTGAGTGACCGCTGGAAACAGCTCTTAAAAGGAGCTGAGTACATCCAGCCTGGCCCAGTCTGGGCAGGATTTGTCCTCCTTTTTGTCCCTTTCACTTGGCTGGAAGGGACTGAGGAGAGGAGAGAAGGTCATTAAAGTGGGGCTGACGGGGTAGAGATTTTACCCTGCGTCAAGGACCCTGGCCTTCAGCCATTGGAAGGTGTAAGCATCAGGTTCGCTCTCTGTTAGGCTCTGTAAGTTAGGAATCTGCTGCCAGCCAGCCAGTGCGCCCACAGGAGACCAGCTGCAGGTGGTGGTGGGGCCCGTGCTGGGGCAGGGATGCTCAGGTTAGCAAGCTCCTGCCTCCTCCAGCATCTGTTCACAGCCCCACTGCCGCAGCCTCCCGGATCTTGTGGCTTCCATCTGGGCTGGGAGTCCTTGCGTGTACAGAGAGCGGTGACAGGGGCTCTTCGTGGGTCCAGCTTAATTGGTGTGATTTAATGGCATTTCT